TCTGAGAACCAGAAGCAGTGTCTGGTTGTGAGACGGTCGTCCGAGTTTTAGTACAAAATTCGGGACGGCCGTCCGAGATGACGAAAAAACGCAGTAAAGGAATCCTAATTGCACAAGGAAACTACCTTCTTCCCCAAGTTTTCCACCCTATATAAGACCAAGTCAAGCACACAATTAGGGATCAATCTTTGGACGCAAATTCAAGAGCAAAGAAGATCAACGAAGATTCAAGCATAGTTTTTCTTATTTAATTTATTTATTTTATTTTCTTTATCATAAGAACTACGAGTAGCTAAGTCTCACTACACCACAAAACGTCATCCATAGCGTTTGAAAAACGCTATCGTAGGCTATTATAGCGTTTTTACAAACGCTATGTCTGCCGGAGCTATAATAGGTCGGGACTTTTTAATAGCGCTGCATAAACGCTATCTTAAAATCTCTATACATAGCGTTTTTTATGTGCTATTGTCCACTCTGTTATAACATATTATACACGCTATACTTCACCAATTATAGCATTTTGTAAATGCTATGTTATCTATAGCGTTGGATGTTGAGGCATTTTTGCGCCATTATTTATATTTCATAAATGCTATCGAACACAATGCTTTTACTATAACGATGTCCAACATAATAATGAAAAAAAAAAATAATCATACTTTTGTATAACACCAAAACCACATTATATAATATCCACAAAAATTGTCACTGGTATTCGGACCAAGTTAATATAATAACTACAAAAAAACTAAACTATCTTTCAACATTTTTACATAACAAAAAGGAAAAGATGTTACCCAATAAAAATATTTATATATTCTACAGTACTAAACATACATTTATCATTACATGAAGAAAACAAAACTTCTAGTTTAATGATCTCCAATATTCTCATGTCTTCTAGTCAGCAAGCACTCTCGCTGATGTTCCAAGTTTCACTGTAAATGACGACACAAAAATACAATATTAAAAACATTGCAAGGTTATTTGTTAATTGCACTTAAGCTTAGTCTATTTAATTATACGTGTAAAGAATTTTTGAATAATTAAAATTTAAGTGACTTGGAAAATATGTACCTGTAATCGTTTTACCTCGCTTTCCAAAGGCAATAAACTTTGCAAAACACGAAGCTCAAAGCGAGAGGCTAACAGTTGTCCTCATCTAGCATCATGAAGAGAGGGTAATTGACTTTCACTAGAAATAGCAAAGTTGACAATTGTGAAGACATTAAGCCCTGCAAACAAGGACATAAGACATTGAACAATTAGGAACGACTAAGATCCATAAGTAATGAGTTCAGATACTGTACACTTGAAATACGAAACTTTTTTATGTTCTAAACTGCAAATAGTATAATCTATAAGTGATAAACAAGAGAGAAAACAGAATGGAGACTTCCTATCAACAGAATACATAAAGTAAGATTTAATAGACAATAAATTAACACAAGGCTTTGTTATAAAAAAAATGTATTAAGAATTACAAGAACTAAAAGAAAATGAGTTAGACAAACTGTAATCAAACAACAAATGAATTGATAAAAATATAAATTAACAAATAAACAAAAAATCAACAACTCAATCTAAGAGTTTGATTCATGACAAAGAGTCCCATTAGAAGGCCACAACATAAATCAAAATTGGACTCAACCTGCAATGAGAATCGAGTTCGCATATCAGTATGCGAGTCGAAAAAATGATTTGAAAGCATAGAAAGGGCAACATATTTTTTGGTAATGAATCAATTATATTAAAATAATTGGAATAACATTCAAGAAATACCATTATCAAGATGAATAAATAATGATAAAAAAATAATACAGAGTGCTCATTCACTTGCAGTTAGTAGACTAATTTTCAAGTCAGTAAAAAGAGTACTCACGGGAAATATTTATGCTTTTGGATTATCAGTAAGTTGATTATAATTTGGGTAAAAAGTCGCTGCAAAGGGAGATGATGAAATTCGTATTTTCCTGTGAAATAAAATCAATAACAAATCATAAGACTCATTATATGTATATAAATGAGTAAATTGCAAATACCACCCCTGTGAAATTCTTAATTGTCAAATACCCCTCTGTCAAAAAACAATTCACTTATACCTCCCTGTGTAATACTTTTCGAAGCACACAGCACCCCATTGATAGTTTAATTGTTGACCAAGGACGAAATGACAAAAATGCCCTAGGGTCTTTTTGCAAATAATAAAACATACAAGTGTTTAACAAATTTTTAATAATTTTATTATTTTAAACAAATAAAATATATAATAAATATAAATACTGATAAGAATTATTAAAGGAAAAAAAGAAGAAGAACAAATAGTCGTCTTCTTCACAGCACACCAATTTACCCCCCACCCAACTGACCAACTCACAGCTCCATCCACCATTTCTTCCGCTCCGCCCATCACCATCAATTCACCCCTCTTGCACCACCACCATCGTGTTTTTAAGATCCACCGCCCACAACCGCGAGCAAGACATCGTCGTTCCTGGAGAAATTGGACATCAGAGGGGTTCAATTGTGTTGGAATGCGGTAAAAAAATTGCTTCAAATGGTAGGCAAAGAACTCACCGTGAAGGTGGAATTCACTTGAGATTCGAATGCCCATTTATCCTTTCCAGAGGTTGATTTTGTCGACTTCTTTAATAGCTACTGTTACTCAAAATCCACCGCTGGCGATTGAAGACGACGGCCATGGTTTACCGGCGAAGATGACTGCAAATCCACAGCTGGAGTTTCGACAACCATGGATTGGGAGTTTTTGATGCAGGGGGTCGATTCGTGACGAAGATGACGAACAAAGAAGAAAAGAAAAAGAGGTTGAGGTGTGAGACACGATTCGATTCCAGGGGTCTTAATGCTTTGACTTTGATTACACAGGGAGGTATGAGTGAATTTTTATTTGACATGGGGGTATTTGACAATTACGTATTACACAGGGGTGGTATTTGCAATTTACTCGTATATAAATATCACGAGACAATACAAAATCTCAACCAAAATTGCTGAACAAATTATTTTAGTCGAAAGGATAAATCCGTCACCATAAAACAAGAAGTTTATCAATATTCCCATAGTCATCAGATTTGAAGAACCTTATTCACATTTGAGATATTTGAAATTCACTTACCAAGCAATCGAAAGTCAAGAGCAAATCAATTGACAAGAATTAGGGATTTCTGCAAATAAACTGAGAATTAGGTGTTTCTGCAAATAAACTGAAAATTGGACAAATTTACAAATAATGATAGAATGGGAGAGTTAGGGCTTGATACTGCCATACCGGGATCGGAAAAGAGAGAGAAACGGAAAAACTAGGGTCGGTAGATCAGCTAACGTGAGAAATCAGAAAAGAGTCGACGGGTAGACAAATGATTTTTTCTTCACCAAACATTTATTTTATTTGAAGAAACTGCAAGGGAGCCCAATAACAAGCCCGGTGGATGACTAATGTAATAGCGTTTATTTTTAATAATTTTAATGCGTAAAAGCTATTATTGCACTAATTAGAAAAATGCTATAACAAAGTGCTATTAAAAGTCAATTTTGTTGTAGTGGTAGGTTTTCGGCCAACAAGTTTTTGGCGCCGTTGCCGGGGAATATTTTAATTATTTATTTTATTCTAGCTCTAAATTTGAACAATTTTCACGATTCACCCAATTTTTTTTTTTTTGAATTTTATCTTTTCGTTTTAATTTTTTTTTTTAATATATATTTTTTTCTTTGGTTACATGTCAGGTTGCGCACCTCAAACGGGATATGAACGGCTTCCGTCTGGCGAATACCTCCAAAATACCTATGATATGCCGTCACTTTGTTCAATATGTGGTGGAGATCATTACACTAACCAATGTTGGTATGCACCGAGAGCAAATAATTTCATAGATAACACCAACGGTGGTTATTGGAACACGTACACCAACACGCCACGAGAACCCACTGTTCAGGAGTGTTATTTGAACTCCGTCCTTGAAGAATTTATGAAATCCACTCAAGCATCTATCCGAAGACTGGAGTTACAATTGGAAGAATTCAAGCGCCAAAGGTCTCTTGAAAATATTTCAGATAATATCGAGAATGGTTGCAACAAAGAAAATCCGTCTGAAATTTGCGGTGAAAAAAATCCTTTAGACCTAGAAAATAGTGTCGATGAGAGGGAAAAAGAAATAACGAAGACGCTTAAGGATGATGAATCTGACAATAATGCAATTTGAGCTAAACTCCAAAGATATCTCGGAACAAGAGAAGAAGGAGATGGATGTGGTTAGTGCAAATATTCAAATTGAGGATATTATTGTTGTTCATGACGTGGCTTTGAAGGCATCAATAGAGGTTGATGAGAAGACGAATGTGTTTGAAGTGGAGGTTATACGCGGACGTGAGATTTTTGTGTACCAATTTGAGGGAGCGGGTGATGAAGATCCCATCTTGGCTTCGTACCGATTGATTACAACCAAGAAAGATTACAAGCTAAAGTGGACCCTGACATATTGCAATCCTATCCCTGTATCGGTTGCAATTGAAGTGACAAAGCTCATGGATGGATGCGCAATCTACAAGGCTTTGGATTGGACATAACAATTTCAAGAAGCAAAGTCTGGCTGAAGACTTTAAACTTAGCGCTTCTCGGGAGGCAACCCGAGCTTTGCTGTTTTTTATATTTTTCTTCAATTTTATGTTTTATTTTTATTTTCATAGGCATGCATTCTAATTAATTTATTTGATTTCTTATTTTTAAGGTCGGAATTGCGATCGGCACGGTCATCCGAGAGACAGAGAGGGCATCTTCGCAAGAGGAAAATCAAATTTATTTCCCACAAATTCTCACACCCCGAAGACATCGACTCCGACTAAATCAGGTGTTTTCTATCCTTAAACTTTGTGCTAATTTCGTTGTGCAGACACTGAATCTCATTTCCGAATCCGATAGTTTTCTTTCCCATTCAAACCAGCTATCTATCCTTGTTGAAATAGATTATGTTGTTGATAAAATGAAGGAGATTCCCAGCAGCAAGAAAGTTGATGCGGCAATTATACAGGTTGGAGAGAATCTACGTGGAAAATCTTTTGAAGAATGGAAGACATTATCAGAAAAAGAAGATCCACTCGTCATCACAAGATATGACGATACGCCACTCTCAAAGGCACTATTTTTTAGTTACATGATGTTGCCTCAGCTTCTAAAGCCATTCTTTATGTATATGGGTGTGTTCCCAAAACATTATGGGATTTCTCGATCAAAGCTCATCAAATTATGGGTCTCTGAGGGCTTTCTGGGGACAGACCCGGGGATTGAAGAAATTACTGGAAACGCCTTGGATCTATGTCAATTCGTATAGATTTAAGAACTGTAGACTGCATTTCACCTTTCGAAGTCTATGTGTTAGTGAAGCTAAGAGTGAAAAGTTTTTCCATATCCTGAAAAAATACACCGATTGTACTCCAGAGAACATCAAAAGGCAGCAGCGTTTGTGCGTCCACAATAATGTTGTTCTTGCTTTCACACAAGTTCATGAATGGATGGAATTGTTTCCGAATGCACAATCTCTTCTTTGTTTCGGTCCAAAACAACAATATCCAGTATTGTTGCCCTTGTGTTTAAGATTGTTCAAGGTACTAGATGCACTTGCGCTCCGCTTCTACGAGTTCCCACATCAACTACTTGCGTTAGTTCACTTGACGCACCTTTCCATCACGTGTGACAGAGAGCTCCCCAACTCCATCTCCACACTTTCAAACCTTGAGGTATTGATTTTCATTCGCTATCATAACATCAAATTTTCGAATAATGGTCCAGTTTGTCTGCCTATAGATATCTGGAACATGCATAAACTGAGGCAACTTTATTGCGAGGGCTTCGACCTCCCACCTCCTCTAGATAATTCTCATCTTGAGAATCTTTTAACAATTTCGGGTGTGAGTGCTCACAGTTGTATCACAGAGGTGCTTTCAAGAATCCCCAATTTGAACAGAATAGCCGTTCAGATTGAGTCGGCACACGACTCAACCGAAACCTTCAATTTTTTCGGTCACTTTGCCTCTGTCTATGAGGAATTTGAGTCATTCAAATGTGTCGTTGTAAATCCTAATCTGAGCTCTCAAATTGTTCGTTCAGTTCCGAACATTCCTATGAACATTAGGAAGATAAGCCTGAGTGGATGTGGATTGCCTTGGGAGAATATGCAAGTGATTGCTTCATTACCGAATCTTAGAGTGCTCAAACTGCGATGGTATGCCTTTTGCGGCCCTCTGTGGAAAACCAGCACAGGACAGTTCCCCAGTCTGGAGTTCTTGTTGCTGGAAGACTTGGATATAGAGAACTTGGAACTTGACATTCCATACTTAAGGTGGGTGATTGTTAGGCATTGTTATAAATTGGAAAACATCTCGAATCAATTCAAGAATACTGGACTACTAGAGGTAGATGATTGCAACCCATCCTTTATGAAGAAAATGCGCGAGTGTCGACCCTTTTTGGGTGCAGAAGCTAAAGTAGGTTCTTCAAGTACGGATCTATAAAGGTAATTAATGGTCGTCAAATCTATGTGAATTTTTTTATGGTCAATTCAATGGTACACTTGAAGAATCTAATATTTAGATGATCATATCCTAGCAATTTCTTTGACTAGGACTATATTTCTCTTTCTTTTTTTGTCAACACGAAAATACTCTATTATAAAAAAGAGTATTTACCTTTATAATAAATTTTCTTAGTTTAGAAAACTAGCGAAAACTATTGCATTCTATTTTACTGACCTACAGTCTCTTCTTCAAAGTGTTTCGAACCATTGAGCCCAAAAAACTCGAAAGAACGAAGATGTATACTCTAAAGAGTGATACCAAAAAATCAGTGGCGTTTTAGTTAATATTGTATCTTTCATCCTATAATCATTTTTCAGTTCATTAACCATTATATATCTACCAGAGCAATTCTATGTTGATCGATTTTCAACTTAGCTGCACGATGAATTTTGCTTTTTCGTCTGTGAATTTTTGGTAAGCTTGATCCTTGAAAACGTTGAAGAGAGGTTTTGATTGATTTTCCTTTATCTGTGTGTATAGGATTATAATAAATTCGAAATGGCTAATCATGTGTTGCTCGGCGATTGAAAAGCCTCAACTATTCAAATGAAGATGAAGATTCCTATTCGGCAAGTGTGGCAAAATTTCAAAGCTTTCATAAAACTGTTTACGATTTGATATTTTCCTGTTTTTGTAAACTTTTTTTTTTTTGGGTGATCATTGAAACTTATGTTTTGGATGTTTTCTTTATTTATTCGTGAGGCCATTCTTGTAACGTCAAAGGTAATTAATTTTACATAATTTTTACTTTTGCAATGGCTGGAAATTAAAAAAAAGTGTGATGGATTCGATTCTATCAAATGATTGTTGAATGTGAAATGTACCTCCCTGTAAGTTGTTAGTGAATATGGTTATGGTATATGAAGCTCATTTCAAGCTCAAGTTCAACTCGTAACTCGACTACAACAAAAATTCTAAAATATGTCTAAAAAGAATTAGGTTATTTGAGCTTGATGCTCAAAGCCGTGATAATCAGACCAAGATATATGTGTATATTATATATTTATTATTTTTTCTAAAACTCGTGAATGAAAATTTCCAGAAAGCTTAACAAAATTCGTTTATACCCCTTGTTTTAAAGATTCTATCTAGAGAATCTAGAATGTGCTATGGATTCGTGCGCTTGATTGATTGGGTAAAGGAAGCAGAGTATAATACCGTTTTGTCAACAAGACCGGGTAGTTTTGTTAGGATGTATAAGTTTCTTTTTTCTGTACGGAGGACATATTTGTAATCAACGTCTCTAAATTTTGAGCTAATCTCTGAATTTTTGTGATGGATTTAGAATTTTGTTTACATTTTTGCACGAGCTCTATTACGGCACATGCATCGATAACTACAGTTAAGTTTTTTTCTCCATGTCCTGTATTGCTTTCGTTTTATCTTAGCTTGTATTTATACATACTGTTTTTGAGTTATACATTCTAACTCTGAAAATTTTCAACTAGCTTTTAAAAATTTAAAACCTTGCTTAAAGCATTACCAGTATCCAGTAGTCACTTGAAATTTATATTTAATTTTACAAATACTAGTTTCAATATGACTCGATCGATCGCCTCCAGTTGAAGGTTTGAGATCAATAAATATATAATATAACAAATTCGATCTTCGTCTTTAGCTATGTTTGATAACCTTTCGTAATATATATAAATTTATATTATTTGTCTAGGACCATTTATTTTTCTCTTTCTTTCTTTCTTTCTTTCTTTCTTTCTTTCTTTATTTTCTTGCATGCATAAATCATAATCATGGTTTAGAATTGAAAACTAGAGTCTTTCATGTTAGTTTTACGTTTTTTTAATGTTTTATTTTTTGGTCCACTAATTTTTTATTTTAATTAATTAAATTGTGGGTAATTCAATTATGGTATTAAGGTGATTTATGTTATTTACTTTGTAACTAATAAGATAATAAAAGACCAAGACCATGATAGGTGGTATTTGTTTTCTGTCGTTACAAAGAATCGTGACCCTCTTCTCTGGTCTATAAAAGCATCCACAACTCTTCTCCTCAACATCAGACGTAATTTGAGAATTCCATCAATTACAGAACACTAGTGAGTTGTGATATTAAAGAGATAGAGAGAAGAATGTGTGCCTACGAATAAGGTTCTCACAAGGAGATTCAGAGGAGGCCTGGCTAGGCTCGGCTTGTAGATTGCTATCGTTAATAGTTCATTGTCTCTATCGAAATCCATGGCGAACGGTATGTCGATAATCCCAATTATGTGATTATGTTCTAAGATGAATTTGATTTCAAGATTCGGTGATTAAAGTTTTCCGCATAAAATTAAATAAAAGTCTTTCAATTAGTATCAGAGCAGGGTTTTGAAATCAATTCATCCTAGAACTCAAATTTGCCATCTTGTTTATGTTTTTCTGTTCCCGTGGATGTTTGTTTTTAATTCCATATGAAATTGCCAATAGTTTTCCGTTTCAAACTTTGTTTTAAAAATCTAAGGACATAATGTTTTATTTTATTTTTTAAGTAAAATTCCCTGACCATCGTATTTGAAAAAAAAAGAAAAAAAAAAAAAAAAACAATTTGTTCCGGTTAGAATTGTTAATTGAAACCGGCAGTGGGGTTTGCGGGTTCTACCTTCCATTTTAATATTTTATTATTTGTCAATGAATGAATTCAATTTGTTTGATTCTCTATGGATTTAATCAAATAAATTTGTCAACGAAAATAAGTCGTTGCTAGCTTCGTTGTCTTTTATTTGTTACGGAAAGTTCGGGGCAACGAATTAAAAGTTGTTGCCAATACATTTAGTTTGCGCAACGAATTCATGTCGTTGGCAAATATTTTTCGTTGCCTATAGATTTAGAATGCACAATGAATATATTTTGTTGGCAATTATATATCGTTGCCAATGTATTATGTATACACAACGAATTTATTTTCGTCGCCAATAGTATACACAACGAATTTATTTTCGTTGCCAACGAATTTATTTCATTGCAAAATTATGGTCCGGATTTTTATCGAAGCCGAACCCACGTCCGCCAACCCGACCCACATCCATTGGACCACCGAGCCAAGCCGGACCCACATCCATTGGACCACCGAGCTACTTCGGAATATGAATAGTTGGGTCGAACTCACGACCGGCCCAACGGGCTGATAAATGTTAAATATATGAAAATATGACGATACGCCACTCTCAAAGGCACTGTTTTTTAGTTACATGATGTTGCCTCAGCATCTAAAGCCATTCTTTATGTATATGGGTGTGTTCCCAAAACATTATGGGATTTCTCGATCAAAGCTCATCAAATTATGGGTCTCTGAGGGCTTTCTGGGGACAGACCCGGGGATTGAAGAAATTGCTGGAAACGCCTTGGATCTACTTCTTGTGCAAAGTGTTGTTTTGAGAGAAAAACACGCCTCTGTAGATATGTATAAATGTAAGAACACTAGCCTGCATTTCACCTTTCGAAGTTTATGTGTTAGTGAAGCTAAGAGTGAAAAGTTTTTTCATATCTTGAAAAAGTACACCGATTGTACTCCAGAGAACATCAAAAGGCAGCAGCGTTTGTGCGTCCACAATAATGTTGTTCTTGCTTTCACACAAGTTCATGAATGGATGGAATTGGTTCCGAATGCACAATCTCTTCTTTGTTTCGGTCCAAAACAACAATATCCAGTATTGTTGCCCTTGTGTTTAAGATTGCTCAAGGTACTAGATGCACTTGCGCTCCGCTTCTACGAGTTCCCACATCAACTACTTGCGTTAGTTCACTTGACGCACCTTTCCATCACGTGTGACAGAGAGCTCCCCAACTCCATCTCCACACTTTCAAACCTTGAGGTATTGATTTTCACTCGCTATCATAACATCAAATTTTCGAATAATGGTCCAGTTTGTCTGCCTATAGATATCTGGAACATGCATATACTGAGGCAACTTGTATATGCATTCATTTTTAGATATAGCTCTGACCCAATAAGCGTTCATTTTTTTTTGCAGAATCGTTAAGATGTTTGTTGACCTATTAAGAGACTGCAAGCAAACGCCCTTAATGACTATTTTGCTTAATGAATCAGCAATTGAATCATTAAGAGGTCTATTAAGCACAATCAAATACAGCCTAAGCAAAGCTTCATAAGAAATAATAAGTTGAAGTGAATACAGTTGAAACAAAGTTGAGGAAAGAAACTTTTCTTGCTTACAATCATAATTATCAAAACCTCCTAGAGCATGAGCAATACCATTCTCATGCCGTTTAACAAAACTAAAAGAACATGAAACCAAAAGACTTTGTCAAGAGAGATGGTCTTCAATGAAAGCTCCAAAAGATCGATGAACCGTCCACATTTATTAAAATAAGAAAATTAATTTTAGATATAATAAAAAACATATATACTACTATGTTGCACGGACACGGAAACGGCGATAAGGGCTAAAATGGGGAAACGGCATTTTTCGAAAATGGGCTACATGAACTAAGGGGAGAAACGTGTAAATACTAAAAGTATGGTGTACTTATAATTATTCTATATAAACATATATAAGTTTTTATTTATATATAATTTTTTTTTATATTTTTATACAAACATATTGAAATAAATTTTACTATCAACTATTAATTTGCATCTAATCATGAAATCATGTAAATAATTAGAGAAACAATTTTTTTTTTGAAAATTTGCTATTCAAATATGTTTTTAACTTTTTAAAAATTGCAAAATGGCCTATAAGGTTTTTGAAATGCAGAAACATTGAGAAGTTGAAGTTTCTGTGCTACACAACATATATATAAACAAATGGCCCCCAAGAGATAAAATATAAATTATGTAAAAAATATACAAATTATAGTACATAATAAAATATGAAAATTTAATATATACATCTACACTAGGGGTGAAATTTCCGTATTCCGCCAATTGCGATCCGAAAGTATCCGAATTGAAACCATATTTATCATTCCGATTTTTTCAAATTTATTTGGAAGAATCGGAATTGTATATAAAATTACCGGAGATTCTAATTTCCTATCAGATTTAATTCCGAATATTTCAATTGTATTTCCAAATATATGATGTAATTTATGTTATATTTTGCAATTCCATAATATAATTCATGTTATATTTTATATGAAAAATATAAATACCGAACGGTTAGGTAAACTAAAACCGTAAAAAAGATTAATTAGTATAATAAACTCTTTATTGCATTTTTTTCTTATCAGAAAATCTTTGTGGTTTTATTTATTGTATTTTCTTGAATTCTCAGTTGGATTTTCTTGCATTTTGCTGCAAATTTTTTAAAAAGATAGAAAAATATTGTGAAAAATCTCATTGCATCCTAATCGGGAATAAATATTATAAACTAATGTAATTTCCGAAACTTCCAAATTCCGCTAATTCCGAGTCTTTCCGAAATTCGGGATGAATATTTGCATTTCAATTTTTTTAACGAAAATTATAAACCATTTTTTACCGTCGAAAAAATTGAAAATTTTCCGAAAAAGACATTCCCGATTCATTTCATCCGATTTTGACCTATAGTTTTCCTCCATAATTAAGTACATATGTATAGATGAATAAATGGATTTTTCACTTGCATATTATAATTTTAAAGTGTTAGATATAAATGGGTAAATTCCACTCCCCCTTGTACTTTGACTCGATATTACTTTATCTCATTCTACTCTCGATTGCATCGGTTTACCCCTGTACTTGAAAAATTGTCTAAGGTCTGAAAATTACAAAACAGCCACCCCTTCCAGTTTAAATAATTATAAAAAAAATTAAAAATTAAAAATAAAAATAAATTGTGGTTGCCGTCGTGGACTATGCTTTCTCATTGTTTTGATTTTTTTACTTTGTTTATTTATTTATTTTTTGTTTTTTTAATAATTATTTAAACTGGGATGTGTGGCATTTTGTAATTTCAGAGCTTAGACCAAACGGTGTTAATGTCAATGGTCTGAAAACTAACGGCGAGGGCCATATTGAGACAATTTTTCAAGTGTAGGGTGGCAAATTAATGCAATCGAAAGTAGAAGGGGTAAAGTAATATCGAGGCAAAGTACAAGGGTGAAAAGTGGAATTTACCCAAATATAAATTAATAGAATTCCAAGGCAATGTTTGGAACCGTTTTTATTTTGTTTTCATTGTTTCCCCAAAACAAAATGGGATTTATTACACTTTTCAAATCATTTTCTCAAAATAATTTCAAAAGTTTCTCTCTCCTTCAGACATGATGTGACTGCTACAGTAAAATGATTTGACTCCTACAGTAAAAAATGTCTTCACTAAAAAACAAACAAACATCACTTCACCATACAATTTTTTTCTTCAAAAATACCTTTTTCTAACACCTTTAAACATGATTTGACTACTACAGTGTATTTTGTCTCCTTCCAAAATACAAACAAACATTACTTCCATTCTCAAATTATTCCCCCAAAACATATTTCCTCAATGAAATCAAAATAAGATCCAAAACGCTTCCAAACATTGCCCAAACATTTCAATGCGGGAAAAACAATTGAAAATTACTACTAAAATCCCCCCAATTGTGTAATGCTGTCCGGCATTCTCAAACCTCTACTTTTCACATTTCCCCGCCGCCCTGCCGCCGCCGTCACCACCGTCAGAACCATGAGTTCCTCCGGAGAATCGACCCAGCGAATGTTTCAGCTAAAAACCGACCCGCTCACTGGAAAATCGGAATGGGTCGTCATCGAAGAAGATGAAGAAGAGAAAACAACACCAAAAGCCCTTCTCGCAACGACGTCGTATCTCGACATGCTTAACGACACCCGCCGCAACAGAGCCTACCGTCACGCCATTGACAACGCCGTCACTAAACCCTGCCACGTCCTTGATATTGGGTACTGTAAAACACCAATTTAAACTCCAACAAAAAAGAAAAAGTAAAACAAATATTTTGATGAATGAATTTCATTTGCTTTATGCTTATATGTTTGCAATTTTAATTTTTGAATGGGATTGCTTTGAGTTATTAATTGGTTAAAAGACTTGGAGTTTAGGGTTTAGGGTTTTATTTTGAACAGTGCAGGAACAGGATTGCTGTCGATGATGGCAGCTCGTGCAATGGGGCTAACTGATCGAAAATGTGATAGCTCGTGTTCGAATGGGAAGGTGACAGCTTGCGAGTCGTACCTTCCCATGGTAAAATTAATGAGGAAAGTTCTTCGATCCAATGGCATGGATGGTAAAATACGTCTCCTAAACAAGAGGTCGGATGAGTTGGAAGTGGGGTCCGATGTCCATTCGCGAGCTGATATTCTCGTGAGTTACCGATTCTATGATATACATTTTTGAAACTTTTGTCGCGTTAATCCTTGCACTGCTTATAAAGAAACTATACGTATTATTATTCTATTATCGACAGTTAATATTTTCCCGATGCAGATAAGCGAGATCCTAGACTCGGAGTTATTGGGCGAAGGTCTTATTCCGACTCTACAACATGCACATGATAACCTATTAGTCGAAAACCCGCTCACCGTTCCTTACAGAGCAACAACTTACGGTCAGGTAATAAATACATCATCGTTACCGTTTTCTCCAACATTATTACACTTGTAAATATTTGTTCGTCGAAGTTATTAAATTCCCGTAATTTTCTTGATTACCTTTCAGCTGGTCGGGTGCACATATTTACGGGATATGCATGATTTAGTTAATAGAGAAGCAGAATTATCGGACGGTATTCGTCTTGTTCCGAGTGGGATGGCTGGTATTTTAGGCGTCAAAAAGCAGCAGCAATTTGCAATGCATTGTGATGCACTTAAAGAAGAAATCAAACTGGTAACGATTACGCAATTAACCGAGAGAATATTCCTTCAACATAAACAAATGTTAGTTATTCAATCGAATTAATATATTATCTTGTGCAGCTTTCGGAGCCTTTTAAAGTTTTCGATTTTGATTTCTGGAGACGGCCGGACAGTTCTTCTGAAACCGAGATGCATATAAAGACTACGAACGATGGTACAGTTTATGCTATCATCTCATGGTACACGATTCAGCTCATAGGTCATTGTTTTTCGTGTATTATTCAGTTTTATTTTTCTTTTTCCGTTCGTCTCTGTGTGTTTTGTGTGTGTATTTTGTACGATGAGAATGTACTCAGTAGGTCGAGTTACGAACGTTTTTTCGTCTTTCAGGTGGTTGCTTCAGCTAGACAGTGAAGGAACAATCTTCTATTCCACAGAGCCGAATTGGATACGATGTCCTGATGATGTAAGAGAGTTGGAATCATCTTCCAATAGTAAGTTCATTATTATAATTATTAAAAAGTAAATTTATTTTTAATAATCGTCTTTCTTGCAATGAATTAGTGATGTAATAATAATATTGTACGTTGTGCTTAATTAGGTTCTGATAATTGGTGTGACCATTGGAAACAAAGTGTTTGGTTCCCACAAAGCGTAGATCTGCATGTCTTAAAAGATGGAGAGGTTCACTTACACGCTTTACATACCGAAACGAGCATCTCTTATGACTTCAAAACTTTAAACAAAAAGCAACAGGTGGCGCATGTTGATGCCTGTACCGACGATTTTCAGATTGTTCTGTCACCAGAAAGAAACGCATTATACGGAGATAGTAGTTGGAGATTTTTAATGCTCAACGCTATTGAAAAAGCTGTAAGATTCTTCCATACTCGATAAAATATAATCGGCTTGATCCAAGTATTATTAGCTGTTTAATAATTTATTTTATTTTTCCCATTTTCAGTTGCGTCAAAGAACCGATCCCTTATGTTTAGTTGCGGACGATAGTATTTTCTTGGCAATTGCTATTGCCCGTCTTTCAAAGAGTTCGAATGTGATTCCTTTATTTCCGGGACTTGGAAAGAAGGGTTAGGAAGGAAAGAACTTTGCTGGATTCGATTCTATCAAAAGATGTGCTAATAATGCCTTGTAAAGGACTGTTGAAAGTTTGCGCAATGTACCTACCCGTAAGTTGCCAAGGAATATTCTCTCACTCGAATAATATCTATACTATACCAAAACCTAAAGACATCATTTTTTTTCTTCGATTTTCTGCAGAACCTATGGAGAAGTCGATGTTGTCTGAAAGAAGTTGAAGGGTTCGACCATTCAATCGTAAATACCACATTGGGAGCATGTGGAGATTTGCCTCTTACTGAAGAAAGTCCCTTTCTGCCCTTTTACGTTTGGCAGTGTGGAGAAACCAAGGTATTCTTGTTTTATTATTACGATTTTCGATCCGTTGTTCTTTTTTCTTCTTCTTAATAATGTTATTGTAATTTGTGTTTCAGATACTCAGTGAAACGGCCACCGTCTTGGAGTTTGATTTTTCAAAACCAATGAGCTCGTGTTCTGGGAAAACTCCGGTATTTTATGAAACAATAACCGACTTGAATATGTATTTTTGTCTGATAAGATATGAGCTTGAGCTCGACTCAATTAGAACAAAAATTATAAATCAAGTATAACAAGAATTACGTTATTATATATGTATGCATGTATGTATTTATGTATATATTTTTTGTTTTTCTAAAGCTCGATAAAATTTCCAATAAGCTTAAACAATCTCGGTTCGGTTCATTTATGCCACTACTTGTTTATCAGATTGAATTTAGAGAATCTGGAATATGCCATGGATTTGTGCTTTGGATTGATTGGGTTCTCGAAGCGGAGGATAATACCGTTTTGTCAACAGGGCCAGGTATTTTTATTTAAACATTCTAATTTTAATCAACTCGAAATTTGGTGTTGTTTCCTTTGGTAATTAAGTGTACGTGTTTTCATGAAGTTTGATTAATACTATACTGTGAATATTTAAGATAAACGACATTGGAAACAAGCTGTGAAGCTTCTGAAGAAGCCAGTTAAAGTTAAAGAGGGTCAATTTTCGTCGACAGAAATCGAAGCATTCTTTGATCCCTCTAACGGTGAAGTCATTCTACAACATGCCTTCCTCATGAATCCATGTTAGCATCTAATATTATAATAAGTTTCTTTTAAACGGTCTTTGACCGTTTTTTTTGTACAATATATTTCAATAATCATCGACCCTAAATTTTTGAACTAATATCTGATTGTTTGTGTTGGATTTATAATTTTGTTTGCATTTTTGCACAAGCTCTATTACTGTTCATGCATCGATAACTAATTGTTGGTACCTGTTTGAAGTAAAAAAAAGAGTAAAAAGCAGTTTACCCCTAAACTAAGGGCGGTTTTGCACTTTGTCCCCAAAAAAATAAAAGGCCCTGTTTGAAAATTCAATAAAAAAAATAAAAAATTGATTAATTGGAAGTTTGTATGATTTTCCTCCATTTTTTATTTTCTCTAGTCTGGCAGCACATTGTTAATAGAACCCCTCAAATCATATCATACTAAGGATAAATTCGATTATTTATTTATTAATTGTGAATTTTGGAGAACATAAATGCCGAGATAGTTTGCACACATCAGTGGAATTCTTCTTGCCGACCCAGTATTTTAATTTCTGATTTTAAATCCATAATATAAAACAGCCAACAAGCTCAATAATTTCTTACCCAGCAAATTAAACAATAAATAAGCAATTGAAATCAATCGAGAATATGCAGCAGGTCGTCAAGTTCGTAGTCGTCCTTACAATCATTTTTCGCCTCCGAGGCGACAATAGCGGTGCTGGCAGCAGCGCCGGAGGTGGATCAGTGGGTGGCCGTTCAGGTGGATCCAGCGGAGGTTAAAGAGAAAAAAGGGGAAGAGAAGATGAAAGAAGAAATCGAAATAGTATGAAAAGAAAAAGGAAACAAAAAGAGTGCTTGGAGAAGATAAGTCAAAATAAAGGAAATCTAGTGAAATATAACATAGAATGGATGAAAATTGGACCTCAGGCCATTGTGAGTGAAGTGACAATTTTGACCCTGCCCAACTCACGTGATTTGCACGTGCATAAGATTCCGTCCAAATCTGAAAACAGGCACCGTGCAATCAAATAATAAGTATAGGTAAAAACGTGCAAAATAATTTTGTTTGGGGGGCAAAGTGCAAAACCACCCTTAGTTTAGGGAGTAAACTGTTTTTTACTCAAAAAAAAAAAAAAAAAAAAAAAAATACAAACACATTTTGCAAATACAGTGGACTGAAACTTCAAAACGGAGAAGTCTAGCTTTATGATTAACGGCTTAGTTTTCAATGTCATGTTTCTCGGTCTAACACCACCGGTGGTGGCACGAACACAAATCACGAAGCACCACAAAGCCCATAAGCCCTAGATCGGACCAGAATTACTCAGGTTCTGTCAACCCTCTCCTAGTATCTCAATTCTCACCGAAAATGACCTCACTCGTGCTCCCTCGCTCAGAGTGTTTTCTCACAAACTTCACAAAAAACAGAGTGGTTCCACTCTCTCTCCCTCACGAAGTGTCTATTATATAGATTAAAAAGCAATCTGAGAACAACAAAAGAATGACCATCATCATAGTCAAATTGGTGTGTTGCACGAAAATGCCAAGAGCATTCAATGCGGTGGTATGACTAGAGGAGAGAGAGAGAGAGAGAGAGAGAGAGGGGGGCAGGCATAACAGAAGATTAGGGTTTCTAGAGACGGTGGGTGTAACCTTTTGTAATCACAAAGAAAACAAGGTAATCATACATATCAAGCAATTTCAAGCAGAAAAGCTAACACAGTGAAGTGACAGTCATACAGATTGTTTGAATTATTATATATTTGTTAAGTGACAAAGAAAATGTTCAGGATTTTCAAACAAGAACGCAATTTCTCAACATGCAGACACTTGGTGTCCATATCAGAAGGATTGAAGTATGATGAAATCTTTTCAAGATCAATTAACCATTTTTCCACAATATCTATGATCAAGTAAAACTTCACATCAATATGCTTTGTTCTATAATGGAAAACAAGGTTTTTGCACAGTTGTATTCCATATTAACTATCAGAACAAAACAATTACTTTTTTTTGTTCAGAAATCCAATTTTAGAAATTCAACATTTCAACCAAATTGCCTCTTTCAAGGCTTTAGTTGCAACAGTATTATATTTCAGTGGTTGACAAGGCTACAATATTTTGCAATTGTGATTTCCAACTAATGCAAGAACCATATAATGTGAACATATGAGAGGTAGTGGATTATATGTTATCTCTGTCTTCAATAAAATTGGAATCAACATTTCCACATAATCAACATCTTCAGAACACTTAACAAACATAACTTCAGTATTTACAAAACCTTTCACATACCTGAGCGCTTCCAGTGAGGCATACCAAGATGTCTTGCAAGTGATAAAAGGAAGCAGAGGAGTTTGAAAAAACTCGACTTTGATGCTAGGAAATACAACACATATTGCTCTATCAACCATACACATAGGAAGGAAAGAAGTTTGATGCTCGCATGTGTATAGCTCTACTGGTTCCGGGATGGTAAGTTGATGCAAGGTCTTATGATCGAATACAGACACCCGCATTGTGGGAATTTTAACTCCAATGAGCATTGGTTCTTTGTGGGACACCAAATTCGGGTCCGCTACTCCAATTTCAACTATAATGATTCCTATTTCTAACGTCTTTTCTTTAATGTTCTATTTGAATCAACCCGAACTTTGTTGTTTCGTTTTGTTAACTAAAACAATTTTTCTCTGGATAAGTTGTGAAGCTTTTGAAGAAGCGCATCGAAGTTAAAAATGACGAGTTTTCGTCAACAGAGATCGAAATACTATTTGATCCAGGGCCAATCATAAGAGGAGGCGGAGTCGGTGATCGCCTAGGGCCTCTCAGATTTTTTTATTTAGGGTCCCTAAATTGTTTTATACCCTTTATGTATTAGCATTTATTCATATATATATATATATATATATATATATATATATATATATATATATATATATATATATATATATGAGTAATATGCAAAAAGTACCCCTGTGTAATTTGTATTTGCCAAAAACCCGGCAATGATAAAACAAATAGCAAAAATCCCCCTGTGTAAAAATTTAAATAGCTCACTGCAACCACTATAATCTTAGGCATTGACTGAACGTAAGAAGACAAAGATACCCTGTCAGATAACTTAAAATAGGGGGCAAAAGTACAATTATGGTAAACATGTAAAACTTAAATTAGGGGATTCCCATAAATTCAATAAAACCAGTCTTAAACTATGTAGGAGTTGTAAATCATGTTTTACTGTTTGTGATTAGTGATTTGTGTGCTTCTGGGTTGCTATCGTTATGAATGACCAAAATTCGTTTTGGCTTTGTTGTATGTGTCATTCCAGTCTTTGATTCGTTCTTCCTTGCTGGTGTTTCTTTGCTCAAGTTTGAACATTATTTTTTTCTTCTTTTATTTTTATTTTATTTTCAATCCCAAATTTGTAGCACCGAAATTGGGTGATTACTACGAGGAGGCAATGATTGCACAAAAATACAGAGAGATTGTGTTCTTCAATTCTATTTGGAAATCAGAGATATCTTGGAGTTTCATGCTGGATATGTGTGTTCTATTTGTGTAGAAGAAGAGTTTCTCTTCTTCGAAGAGTTTCATGGGGGGCACTTATGTCATTTTCATAAGCAAAAATGAACAAAAAAAAAAAAAAAAATCACACAAGGAGCGGGTGTAACACACGTTCTGGTACAAAGGGGTTTTTTGTCTTTGACTTTTTTACGCCGGGGTTTTTTGCTAGTTTTTTTTATCACAGTGGAGTTTTTGACAGATAAGAATTACAAAGGGGTACTTTTTGCACATTATTGATATATATATTGATATGCCTAATTGGCCCAACCCAATGGGCCTACAAATTATTTACCTACTGGGCCACGAGCCCGATATCGAAGACCATTATCACCAAGGCCCAATCACCTTCAAGTAAGGTTTGGGCCCGACAATCTCAACTAAGCTATAAATAAATGTTTGAACTCATTCCTTAAGGTACGTCCTATGAACTGAGCAATACTACAATACGTATTCTCTGGACTAATTCTATGATCAGCACGTCTGACTTGAGCGTCGGAGGGGTTTCCGCCGGATCAACCCCCGGCTTAGTTCATGTGTTCTATGATCGCAGGTACCTCAGGATCATCAAGTTGTCAAGCTACTGATCCGCTTTGCTCTCCCAGTTCATTTTCTACACTATCCCAGGTGATCTAAATAATTAGCATCATCATATTGACGTCTGACTTGAGCGTCGGAGGGGTTTCCGCCGGATCAACCCCCGGCTTAGTTCATGTGTTCTATGATCGCAGGTACCTCAGGATCATCAAGTTGTCAAGCTACTGATCCGCTTTGCTCTCCCAGTTCATTTTCTACACTATCCCAGGTGATCTAAATAATTAGCATCATCATATATATATATATATATATATATATATATATATATATATATATATATATATAGATATCATTATTGAGAACCTGTTGTAAAATGGCCTATTTTATCTATTTTTTTTGTTTTGACGATCGTGGACTAACGTAGTAGAGTATAATTGAATATATATGTTTTATTGTCTCATATTTTCTCCAGGCTTTCACACATATGTATATAAAAGAGCAGTACGTGGGAACAAGTTTTGGTCTGCCTTTTATCGAGAAATTTTTACAAAGAAAATATTTCTGCTCGTTTTAATTTATCTCTAGACGTGAAGTTTATCCCGTAAGATTAAAGAGCTTAAAAGATCTCGGGAGGAGATCGATCCGCCAACTAAAAGAAATCAGCGTTGAAGATACTGCAAGTTAAAGATCACAATTTCGAGTATCATATAAGAACGGCGTCAACAAAGAAAAAATCTTTAGTTTTGAATAAGCCCAATTATTGTGCTCGTAAAACTGAAATGAGTTAATTGTCTTGTTTGCAGGTCCCTTTGAATTAGGATACATTTGTATCTGAATCGCGTAAATAATTGTATCTCGTTTTAATTATATGTCACAAACTGTTACATGACTTACGACAACAGTATCGAAAAACTGAATGTGACACAAATAACAATTATTGTAGGGAAATAAAAGTAACACCACAAATGTGTAAGTGTTAGGCAACAAATGAATATTAAATCGGAAGATTCTTCTTGGTGATCAATTATTGTCATGACACAGCTGTAATGCTTATATTTAAATCC